GAAAAAAGCCAGAAGAGCCGAGGGGAAAAGAGAGAATGACGAGTTGTTTTTCCTTATTAGAATTGTGAGATATAATCTCGGAATTGCGAGAATAAAGTCATAATTTTGAAATATAAAATCAAATTTACCTTTTTTTATTCTTTTATTCCATGGCTCCATAGACTGCCACTTGAAAACCGTCATTTTCTGCCTCCAGATAGGCTCCGCCCACAATCTGTAAGACTATCCCACGCTCTAACATCAATTTCGTTGAATAACAGTGCTTATCGCTGGGTGACAAGCTCTTGTAATATCAGAATCAGAAAGAGCTTTATTGCCAAGTATGTTTGCACATACAAGGAATTTGTTATAGTGTCACAAGCTGCTTTTATATGCGTAGAACATTTTGAAAATGACATCTAATCAATATCATTTATAATCTTTTTAAACCTAACTATTTTGTACCGCATCCGTGAAATTCTCTAGCTGTAAAGGCTATCTCTCCCGGGTTTTCTGCAACCATGATGCGCGCGCATCCTGAATGTTTACAAACCGATAATTGGTTTATAGTATGTGCATTTCAACCAATTCAGCCATTCCTGGATGAAATCATCTCACAATGCACTATTTGGATTTCTGGTTTTGAATACCAATCACATCCACCAGCATTTTGAACTTGATGACTTCAGAGCCGGCTCAGTCTCCTAGACTGGATCCAACGTTGATTCAGTTGTGATTCAGCCTTTCTTCCTGTCAGTCATCAATTCCTGGCATTCACACACATTTTCCCTGTGATGAACGTGTGTTTGGACTCCGGTATTGATGATGTGTCTAATTTAGTACACTTGTACCAGTTTTGTTCTTGGGTATTGATCAAAAAGGTAATTTTGTATGTCTGTCAGTGTTGGGAATCAGTGGAGCTACAATAATCGTCTCCATTATTAACACTTTTATTCAGAAGTGTATTTATGAAGTACTTTGAGGGAGGCAGCTTAAAAAGGAGAATCATTCAGTATCATTCACTGAGCTGGTGGCTTACAGGTTATGTCACTCTCTGCTGTCTGTCCCTGCCACAATAATGACATTTAGCTGCGTTTTTAAGTAAATAGTGTACATAAACATTGATTGAAGATTGAAGGAGGTTTAATCACGTATTTAAAAGCTATTCTGACATATAAAGAGAAAACAGTAACTACACCCACACTCGAGTGTTTGAGTTTTTTTTTACTTTTTGATACATTTTCACACTTTTTTTTTTTAATTGAATTCGGTGTAGTTGCTGCGTTTTGCCTTTGTAGGACAGTACTGACATAGTCATTAGTCCACAGTTTTTGAGAAGTTTTCACATATACAAAGAAAATGGGCCATACCAGCATGCTGAAATATAATCCGCTTGTTAAGTCATGGCTTATCAAATACCGTGTCTGGGTCCAAGCCTCCATTTCAAATAAGAACACAATCTCAGCTGCCGTTTATGAGCACTGGACGTTAATGGTACACCTTTAAACTAAGCTTCCAGTGTACACTACAATCTGGGCTCACGGTGTCCCAGTCACCAACATTTTAACCAGTCAGAAAAGATGAATCACTGTCTAGCTAACTGAGATTTCAGTATGAACTTAAAGGTTAGGATCATGATTTCTTTTTAGTAGTACTATAGCA